GTGGATAAGGGTACCAGGGGAACGGGGAAGGAAGGACATGTTCGTAGGAAATGTATATATGCCACCAGAGTCGAAGAATATGGTGAAGGACATCAGGATAGGGTTCGAGGAGGTAGCAGCGGATGTACAAAACTTCAAGAGAAAGGGAGAAGTAGTTCTAGTTGGGGACTTCAATTCAAGAATCGGGCGAACCACGAACCCACACGGAGCCATAGGGCAATACGGGGAGGGAGCCACGAACAAAAACGGGGAAGAAATGCTGAGGTTCCTTGACAGTAGCGAGATGAAGGTGTTGAACGGTAGAGTACGAAAGACAGAACCGGAATGGACTAGGCAATGTTTCAAAAAAGGAGAACGCTCCATCCTTGACTATATAGTCGTAGAGAATGGGGGGAAAGAGACGGAAGTACGAGTATGCACAACGGATGTAGGCACTACAGACCACGCGTTGGTGTGGACAGCCCTACAACAGACGAGAGTCATACAGAGTAGGCGACGCAGGAAAATGTACAGACGGAGAATAGATAAGCTAGAAGTAGAAGAAACGAGGGTAGAGTTCCAAGAAGAGATGGCTATAAACGACAAGAAACTCTCGGAGTTGATAGAGGCAATGGGCACACCGAAGGATGCCGAAGGCCGGGACCAGGCCGGGTCTAGAATCATAGAAGGGTGGGAAGAGCTGGTAAACACAACAGCAAGTAGAGTTCTAGGTAGAAAGTTGATAGTTTGTAAGAGAGAAGTGAAGTGGTGGGACGAAGAAATCAAGCAAGCAATTCGAGTACGTAGGGAGTCACACGCAAAATATGCGGCAGGGAAAACAGATGCAGGATGGAAGGAGTATGTTGAAAGTAGAAAGAGGGTGAAGGAGTTGGTCGTGAAGAAGAAGAAAGGGTTGTGGGAGGAAGTAGTCCAAAAGACTAACGAAGATTTTGAGGGGGGGATGAAGCAAATGTGGGTAGGAATTCAAGGGATAGTGGGCAAGAAAAGAGGGGGAGACACGGAAATAACGACACTAAGATCTGCCGAGGGTAAGATGGTAAGCAGTTCTAAAGGAAAGCGGGAAGTACTAGTAGAGCACTACCGCAAACTTGGGACACCCACCACCAACGACAACTTCGACTCGGAGTTTGAGAAGGAAATCAACTCGTGGGCAGAGGAAAACGTTGAAAGATCT